AGAGTATGGAGGATCTCCTGGGTTCATCCCACTCCGAGTATTTAAAGCATTTTATGGTGAGGAGCATCAGATCTAGCCAACGTGTTTCGGAGGAGCAAGCCTCCCCTTCTTCAGGGCTGGAGCAGTCGATGGCAATGTATGCACTAAGGGCCCCGTGTTAAGGCCTGGTGAAGACTACCGTCTCCTGATGGAGCTAGAGCCGGCTCTACATGAAAAAATAGCCTCTCTTGCTCCACATACACATCAAGTTCACGTTAAAGTCAGGGAATGTGCGTTGTAATGAAAGGAGTGGATGATTTTCTGCGTGTTTCCAAGGCTCCCGGGCAGCGGCGGCGGATGAGCCAATCTGGCTGTGATCCTGGCTCTGGTAATAAATCAGAGGAAAGAGCCAGACGTGGAGCTTGATGTTACCACAGGGGCCTCCAGAGGAAGAAACAAAACAATGTTCACTCTGTGTCCAAACGCCCGAGGAAGCGTCCTCTCCTCGTGTCTTCCATGTTCATTGTTTGCAAACCTGCTTCCTGTGGTAGAGCTCCGGACTGACGAACACCGGAGGAGGGGCCTGCTGAATGTGTGCTGGGCCTCCTATATCAACGTTTCTGTAAGAAGAACTGTCCGTGTTCCCTGCTGGCAGCCAGTCTGACCTTATTGTCATGTGTATGGTGACCCGAAGGGCTCATTCACTCCATGGCATTGCACCTACACATCGTACAACGCGTTACACCGCACCTACACAACGTACAACCCGCTACACCGCACCTACATGACGTACAACGCGTTACACCGCACCTACACTCCATGGCACCGCACCTACACAACGTACAACGCGTTACACCACAGCTACACGACGTACAATGCGTTACACCGCACCTACACAACGTACAACCCGTTACACCGCACCTACACAACGTACAACCCGCTACACCCCCACCTACACAATGCACAACGCGTTACACCGCACCTACGCAACGTACAACCCGTTACACCGCACCTACACAACGCACAACGCGTTACACCGCACCTACACAACATACAACCCGTTACACCGCACCTACACAACATACAACCCGTTACACCGCACCTACACAACACACAACGCGTTACACCGCACCTACACGACGCATAACGCGTTACACCGCACCTACACGACGCATAACGCATTACACCGCACCTACACGACGCATAACGCGTTGCACCGCACCTACACGACATACAACCTGTTACACCGCACCTACACAACATACAACCCGTTACACCGCACCTACACAACGTACAACGCGTTACACCGCATCTACACAATGCACAACGCGTTACACCGCACCTACACAACATACAACCCGTTACACCGCACCTACACGATGTACAACCCACTACACCACACCTACACAACATACAACCTGTTACACCGCACCTACACAACGCGTTACCCCGCACCTACATGACATACAACGCGTTACATCGCACCTACACAACGCGTTACCCCGCACCTACACAATGTACAACCTGTTACACCGCACCTACACAACGTACAACCCGCTACACCGCACCTACATGACGTACAACGCGTTACACCGCACCTACACGACGTACAACGCGTTACACCGCACCTACACGACGTACAACGCGTTACACCGCACCTACACAATGCACAACGCGTTACACCGCACCTACACAACATACAACCCGTTACACCCCCACCTACACAACGTACAACGCGTTACACCGCACCTACACAACGCACAACGCGTTACACCGCACCTACACAACATACAGCCCGTTACACCCCCACCTACACAACGCACAACGCGTTACACCGCACCTACACGACGCACAACGCGTTACACCGCAACTACACGACGCACAACCCGTTACACCGCACCTACACGACGCACAACGCGTTACACCGCACCTACACGACGCACAACGCGTTACACTGCACCTACACGACGTACAACCCGTTACACCGCACCTACACGACGTACAACGCGTTACACCGCACCTGCATGACGCACAACGCGTTACACCGCACCTGCATGACGCACAACGCGTTACACCGCACCTACACGACGCACAATGCGTTACACCGCACCTACACGACGCACAACGCGTTACACCGCACCTGCACAACGCACAACGCGTTACACCGCACCTGCACAACGTGTTACACCGCACCTACACAACGCGTTACACCGCACCTACACGACGCACAACGCGTTACACCGCACCTGCACAACGCGTTACACCGCACCTACATGACGTACAACCCGTTACACCGCACCTACACGGCGTACAACCCGTTACACCGCACCTACACAACGCACAATGCGTTACACCGCACCTACACGACGTACAACCCGTTACACCGCACCTACACGACGTACAACCCGTTACACCGCACCTACACAACGCACAACCCGTTACACCGCACCTACACGACGCGTTACACCGCACCTACACGACGTACAAACCCGTTACACCACACCTACACGACGTACACCGCACCTACACGACGTACACCGCGTTACACCGCACCTACACAACGCACACCTTGTTACACCGCACCTACACAACGTACAACCCGTTACGCCGCACCTATACGACCTACAACGCGTTACGCCGCACCTACACGACGCACAACCCGTTACGCCGCACCTACACGGCACACAACCCGTTACGCCGCACCTACACGACGCACAACCCGTTACGCCGTACCTACACGACGCACAACCCGTTACACCGCACCTACACGACGTACAACCCGTTACGCCGTACCTACACGACGCACAACCCGTTACACTGCACCTACACGACGTACACCGCACCTACACGACGTACAACCCGTTACACCACACCTACACGACGTACACCGCACCTACACGACGTACACCGCACCTACACAACGCACACCTTGTTACACCGCACCTACACAACGTACAATCCGTTACGCCGCACCTATACGACCTACAACGCGTTACGCCGCACCTACACGACGCGCAACCCGTTACGCCGCACCTACACGGCACACAACCCGTTACGCCGCACCTACACGACCTACAACGCGTTACGCCGCACCTACACGACGCACAACCCGTTACGCCGTACCTACACGACGCACAACCCGTTACGCCGCACCTACACGACGCACAACCCGTTACGCCGCACCTACACGACGTACAACCCGTTACAACGCGTCTGACACTTCCTTGAGTGTCAGATTCCCAGCCCCTTTCTGCACTCTCTGGTTCCTCCATCACTAAAGGACACAATAGTTACAGAGTTCCAGGGGAGCAGACCACAGAGCGCAGCTGGGTCCTCCGGCGGATCTGCAGGGTCTTCTTAGTGGGTAGAAGTGACTATTCCGAGTCTGCTTTGCAGGGGCCTCCGGCGGATCTGCAGGGTCATGTTGGTGGGTAGAGGTGACTCTATTCCATGCAGGGGCGGACTGACCATTCAAGCACTCAGGCACTGCCCGAGGGCCCGGACTCAGTAGGGGGCCCCGTGAGATGCCCCTGGTAACTTTCATTGGCTTTTTCATAGGCTTTTTTGGGTGTGAGCCAGGACACAGGGGCCCCATGATCCCCTATTGCCCAGGGGCCCCATGAGTTGTCAGTCCACCCCTGATTCCGTGTCTACTTTGCAGGGGCCACACCATTGTATGAGTTTAGTGACTTGAAAAAGTGGAAATGATATTCGGCAAAGCCTTACTGGCCCCCAGCAACCGGTTTGTCTTTGAATGAGGTGAATTCTGATTGGTTGTTGCGGTGTACTGCTGGAACGTCTTAGTTGGATTTCTCCCCTGATGACATTGATTTCATAAGCTGGCCTATGTAATGGGATTTCACTCTCCTTCGTAGGAAAACATTTCCGGAGATTTTTCAGGACAGGATATTTAAAGCTGGCACTGGGGGGGAGGGGAGGATGGGGGGGTTTCCAATGCTGCTGACTCCCCCTCCATTACATCGAGGAATGGCAAATTTGTGTCAGATGTCGTCAGGTTACACTCAGTACATTATCCCAATTTCCATACTGGTGGGCGGGGCATGTCTTCAAACTGTCATTTCATACTGCACGCAGGGCACACATAGTACTGGTTTCCTTTTCAGGCAGAGGGTTGTGGCTGTGATAGTCCTGGAGATGGCGCTGTTCCCAGCTGGCCCCTCCTCTCTTGTTCGCCCTATCACATACAAGCACACCTGGGATGGACCGGAGTGGGAGGAGGGGCCGGCGAGGAAGAGCAGAGATACCCTTTGTTTACCTTCAGCGCGAGAAGTGATAGGGGAGCGTCATCACCGGGGATGCGATGTACTCATCAGCGGCAGGCGATTGCCGGTAGACCGCCGCAGAACCCCAGTTGAGAAGCACGGCACTACAGGTTTGTTATGTGTTCTCATCCACGCAGCATGCCTAAAAAAATATATTTTCTATAATAGATCATACCTTTTAGATGTTTCAAAGGAGAAGGTGTCACGGCTGACTGCAAGGTTTTTGTTTGAATAATGTTACAGAGAGCCTGTCCCAAGTCTGTCCTCATTAACATACAAAATGCAAAAAGTCCAGCCTCTACTCATTTAACCCTTTGTTGGGACAGTGTTCAAATCTGGTTACCGATGATAATGAAGATCCACCTGTGCTGTACAGACAGAATGAATTATGGCCAACACAGCCGCCCAGCCCCCCCATAAACAAAGAGGACTACCTAGGATTGTATTTCCCTGGTGGGGCCAGAATAGAACACCTAAAGAGTAGGATGCTATGTGGATGGGGACATGGAACAAATCTAAAGCGGGTGTTCGTCCGATTGGGCAGCAAAAGTGGAAATACTCTTTAAATTTTTTATTTTTTTTTGGTTATACTTGTCCTTCTATTGTATATAAAAAGTGATTCCCAAAAATCAATAAATGTAACTTTACATACTGTATGCAGCGACGTCCGGTACCTGAATCCTGTACAGCAGGTCACTAACATTTTCTTCTGACCAAGGTCCGAATAGGGTGTGTCCATCAGAGTGCCCCTTTACATCAGGTATCCCCATCAGAGTGCCCCTTTACATCAGGTATCCCCATCAGAGTGCCCCTTTACATCAGGTATCCCCATCAGAGTGCCCCTTTACATCAGGTATCCCCATCAGAGTGCCCCTTTACATCAGATATCCCCATCACATTTCTACCTTACATCAGGTATCCCCATCACATTGCCACCTTACATCAGGTATCCTCATCAGAGTGCCCCTTTACATCAGGTTTCCCCATCAGAGTGCCCCTTTTTATCAGGTATCCCCATCACATTTCCACCTTGCATCAGGTTTGCCCATCAGAGTGCCCCTTTACATCAGATATCCCCATCAGAGTGCCCCTTTACATCAGGTATCCCCATCACATTTCCACCTTGCACCAGGTATCCACATCAGAGTGCCCCTTTACATCAGGTATCCCCATCACATTGCCACCTTACATCAGGTATCCCCATCAGAGTGCCCCTTTACATCAGATATCCCCATCACGTTGCCACGTTACATTAGGTATCCCCATCAGAGTGCCCCTTTACACTAGGTATCCCCATTAAAGTGCCCTTTTTCATCAGGTATTCCCATCAGAGGGCCCTTTTACATCAGGTATCCCCATCACATAGCCACCTTACATCAGGTATCCCCATCAGAGTGCCCCTTTACATCAGGTATCCCCATCAGAGTGCCCCTTTACATCAGGTATCCCCATCACATAGCCACCTTACATCAGGTATTCCCATCAGAGTGCCCCTTTACATCAGGTATCCCCATTACATTTCCACCTTACATCAGGTATTCCTATCAGAGTGCCCCTTTATATCAGGTATCCCCATCACATTTCCACCTTACATCAGGTATTCCCATCAGAGTGCCCCTTTACACTCAAAGTACCCCTTTCTATCATATTTCCCCATCAGAGTGCCCCTTAACATTAATTGTGCCCGTCAGAGTGCCCCTTAACATTAAATGAGCTCATGAAAGCCTGGGGCCAATCAGGTGCCTGGAATTCACATAGGGAGACAAGCAAAGTAAATTTTTTCCTCCCCCTCCAAATCCCCCTCTCCCAGTACAAATCCCCCCAAATCATCTCTCCTAGCTGTAATTCACCTCCCAATTCCCCTCCTCGCACAAATCCTCTACCCTCAAATATTCCATCTGAGCAAAAAATCCTCCCCACCCTCCAAATCCTCTCTCCTAGTTCTAATCCTCCACCCCAATTTCCCCTCCTAGCACAAATCCCCCCCCCCCAATCATCCCTACTAGTAAAATCCTCCCCACCAAATTCCTCTTCCTAACACAAATCCCCCCTCCTAGTACAAATCCCCCTCCAAATCACCTCTTCTAACACAACCCGCCAAATCCCCACTGTGCCCAGGGCAGCCGCCCCTCCTGCCCAGCCCTTGTCTCAGCCCTGCCTCCATCTATCGGAGACTGTTCCCGTTCCACTTCTCCCTCCCCTCAGCCATTACTCTTTATTCATTCGTGGAGAGAACTCAGTGGGCGGATCTCCAGTAGTTACACCCAGATCTAGGTGGAGGTTGAGGGACAACGTACAGTAGATACTCCAACTGTCTGATTTTCACAGTGCTCTCCCCTCCCCCCCCCCCCCCCAGGACAAAAAAGGAGTTAGCTTTGTATTTTTAACACATCAAGTTCTTCCCCGTGCTGAATCCTTGATGCTGGGCGGGATTCTCCTTTAATTCCATGTATGGATCCCTTCGCTTCGTATTATTTCAGTAAGTCATGTCAGGCGTTGGCTGTGGCAGGGAGTCCAGTTGTTAAGGAAACCGAAGTGGCGCGTTGCTTTACAGATGAAATAACTATTTACGAGCTCCATGTGGTGGATTTTGTTGGCAGATGTAGAACATGGCCCCGCTCGGTATATAAACGATTCGACTTTAATGAAGAGTCGCTCCTCGTACATATGGAGCGGAAGAGGGGGTCCCCCGTTTGGAGAGATTATAAAGATGTTAATGAAGGAAGCCGATATCCCATACAGATACTAGGGCTTAGCCGTTCCAACACATGCCAGATGAAAAACCAGGGAGGCCCCCAGGTATTAGAAGGTGAAGGTATATCTAAGCTTCTTAGGGTTTCAAAATATTCCAACCGTAATCTGCTTTTTTTTTTTTTTATTCAATTTTTATACATTTTCATTCTCTGAAAAGTGCATGATATGCGCGACTCTTCGAGAGGCTTCGTGTCCTGCGTGTGGCTGCACATTCCCGAATAAAGATGTGGGCCATCTGCTACATGGGATTAGTCCATAACCAGGGTAGGCAACCTCAGCAGTCCATCTGTGGTCAAACTACAATTCCCATCATGCTTCTGGGAGTCATGCCTGTGGCTGTCAGAGTCTTTCAATGTATCTTTTATTTGCCTTGAGATAATTATACTTTTATATATATAATATATATATAGTTTTTAACACGTTTAAAGGCATTTTTGTATTTTTTTTCATTGCCCAACTTTTAGCCCTGCTGAAAGGCGAGTGCTGGGCCCCGAAAAGCGTTGCCTGTTGCACAATAAAACCTTTTAAAAGCCTGTACAAACTAGTGTGGATGTCACAGTCAGGGGTAGGGTGTCAGGGCAGGAGCTGTGGAACGGACAGGCAGGCCTAGTGGCAGGGTCACGCACTGACTGACGACAACCACCACCCACAGACCGGAGTCTCTCAGGGCGCGGAGTCGAAGTCCCAGGCTGCCCTTCACCAGGGCCCCTGATGGTGGGGATGGACTTGACGCAGCCAGGAACCAGGTCGTGGCCCCCGAGACACCCCAGCTGCGGTAATGGCTGCCGCCAATGGCATGTAGCTGGTAGGAACCAGATCAGACAAAAGCGTAGTCGGGCAGGCCGGGTCGACAACAACGGGACAAACGGTACAGAACAGTAGACAAGAGTAACAGGTCACAGGCCGGGTTCAGCAACGGGAGGTCAGATCAAAGGAAAACGCAGAGAATGGTCTAGTCAAAAGCTGAGTCAGATTCCAGGAGAGTCACAAGAGTATAAACAGAGCTGTTGCAACACTAACACACAAGACACGAATGCAAAGAGCATGTGCGGATCACAGGCTTATATGCGATCAACCACACCCCTCTGGGGGATGGACCGCAGAGGCCTGAAGGCATAAAAGACTCCCACCATGCTCTGCAGAAACCCAAGATGGATGCCAGCACATGGAGCGGCATAACCTCTGGGAAAAGGTAGGACCTTGACATCAGGCTTGAAGACCAGTAGCTATAGCGGTAGAGAGGCTCCCACCGATCATCTGGATAAGTACACAAGCAGGTCACCCTGGTGGTTGACGCAGGGTGATACAGGGTCTGAGCACTAACCAGTGTTCACCAGAGCTCTTGATGGTGGAGATGGGTTTTGCTGCCTGTTAGTACCAGATTGCAATCTTCAGGAATGCCCTACCAGGAGATGAGCAAACCTGGGTCCAGTAGCAGGTAAAGCAAGGAGGGATCAAGTAGAAGCATAGTCAGTAAACAAGCCAACAGTTGGTAACAAATGGTTGCAAGTTGGAATTAAGCAGAAGTGTAATCAAGGAACAAGCCAAGGGTTGGTAACGAGTGGTTGGGTTTAAGGGGAAGCGTAGTCGAGCAACAAGCCAAGGGTTGGTAATGAGTGGTTGCAAGTTGCGATCAAAAGGAAATGTAGTCAAGGAACAAGCCGGGGGTTGGTTATGAGTGGTTGGGTTCAAGTGAAAGCATAGTTGAGAAACAAGCCAAGGGTTGGTAACAAGTAGGTGCAGGTTGGGATGAAGAGAAAGCCAAGGGTCGGTAGTGAGTAGTTGCAGATTGAGATCAAGTGGAATCTTAGTTGAGGAACAAACCAAGGGTTGGTAACGAGTAGTTGCAGGTTTGGATTAAGTGGAAGTGTAGTTGAGGAACAAGACAAGGGTTGGTAACGAGTGGTTTTAGGTTGGGAAGGATAAAGAAGAAGCGTAGTCAAGGAATAAACCAAGGGTCAGTAGTGAGTGGTTGCAGGTTGGGATCAAGTTGAAATGTAGTCAAGGAACAAGCCAAGGGTTGGTAACGAGTGGTTGGGTTCAAGTGGAAGCATAGTTTAGGAACAAGCCAAGGGTTGGTAACAAGTAGTTGCAGGTTTGGATCAAGTGGAAGTGTAGTTGAGGAAAAAGCCAAGGGTTGGTAACAAGTGGTTGGGTTCAAGTGGAAGCATAGTTTAGGAACAAGCCAAGGGTTGGTAACAAGTAGTTGCAGGTTGGGATGAAGAGGAAGCGTAGTCAAGGAGTAAGCCAAGGCTCGGTAGTGAGTAGTTGCAGGTTGGGTTCAAGTGGAAGCGTAGTTGAGGAACAAACCAAGAGTTGGTAACAAGTGGTTGCAGGTTGGGATCAAGTGGAAGTGTAGTTGAGGAAAAAGCCAAGGGTTGGTAATGAGTGGTTGCAGGTTGGGAAGGATAAAGAAGAAGAGTAGTCAAGGAATAAACCAAGAGTCAGTCAGTAACAAGTGGTTGCAGGTTGGGATGAAGAAGTGTAGTCAAGGAACAAGCCAAAGGCAGGTAATGAAGATAAAAACAGCTGCAGGGACACAAAGGAGCAATATATCAGTTGGAGAGAGCACAGTAATCTGGCAAACATGAAGTGTAAGGGCATGGCTTAAATTGGGAAGTTCAAGGTTCACAAGAAACAAGTACAAGGCAAGATTATCTAAGGCAGCCTTTCTCAACCTTTTCAGCACAGAGGAAACCTTGAAATAACTTTCTGGTCTCAGGGAACCCCTGATAAAAATTTCTATATCTACAACTAATGATACATTAGTGTGATGGCCGGTGGGAAGAATACAGGATTTATATGGCGCCAACAGTTTGCGCAGCGCTGTTCAATATAAGGGAGACAGTACAAGTACAATACTTTCAGTACAGAAGGAATAGGAGGGCCCGGCTCGTGGAGCTTACAATCTAAAGGAAGCGGGAGGTGATACAAAAGGTGATAGCTGCGGGGGATGATCTGATGGAGGTGACTCAAGTAGAGTTCTTAGGTGGAGGTGGCTCAGGCTTCCCTGAATAAGTGAGTTTTCAAAGATCACCTAAAGGCAGACAGGGTGGAGGCTGATTGGACATGCTGTGGTAGAGAGTTCCAGAGAATGAGAGAGGTTCTGGAGAAGTCCTGGAGGCGAGTGTGGGAGGAGGTGATGAGGGAGCTAGAGAGGAAGATATCATGGGAGGAGCGGAGCAGGTGATTTGGACGATATCTGCATATCAGGTTGGCGATGTAGCTGGGGGCAGTGTTGTGGATGGCCTTGTATGCTGTGTTTAGCATTTTGAATTTTATACGTTGGGTTAGTGGAAGGCAGTGAAGGGATTGGCAGAGAGGGGCAGCAGTCACTGATCATTTGGTAAGGTGTATCAGTCTAGCAGTTGTATCTGTATCTTGTCTCTTATATGTGTATGAATGTCAGTTAGGGACCTTAGCTTGTACGTCCCTTGAGGGTCAGGGACCTGAGATCGTAGATCCCTTGAAGGTTAGGGACCTTACATTGTACACTGCTTGAAAAAAGGAGTGCACTTCCGCCTTCCACGGCCAGTGCATGCTCCGAAACGCGTCGCAGTGCACCCTGGGATCTGACGTCATCACGGCCACGCCGCCGCTACGTTCCAGCGTGCGTTCCATCCGGCTTTGAGGGAGGACGTGCATGAAGGCTGGCCTCACCACTGTTCCCCCTCCAGCCACCACGCTGTTCCAGCCGAGAGCTGACCTCCCCACATCGCAGAGAGATGACGGCTCTTCACCCGGGTTACCACCCCACCGTTAACTATTGTTAACCACGGTTTTTATGCTTATGATTACTTCACACATGTGAGTGTTTCTACATTTAGACTTGAATTAAAAGACTTATTGCACTTAGAGGCGCTTCTCTCCTTTTTCTCACCTTACATTGTACACTCCCTGAGGATTAGGGACCCTAGATTGTACGCCCCTTGAGGGTTCGGGACCTTAGATTG